TCTTTTCCAACCCAGTTGAATCTATGACTTACTTTCATGGATAAAAAGCAGTTCAGATCTCCAACAGAAGAGCCAACTGTTATTCCTTGATATTTTGGAGTAGCCTTAATAAATGAGACTCAATAACCTGTTGAACTAAACCAGAGAAAAAGATCAGGTTAATCAGTGTTCAATTTTTTTTCATATTTTTAGGGTTGTGCTATTTTTTCTGACAGATGCCTACTTTTCCTGTACAATCATTCAGTAAAAAACAGGAATAAATTCACTCTGGGAAGAGTGTTTGCATCCCTTCAGAACATCAAAGCCTCATATAATGCAAGACTAATACACCCAGTACAGCAGATGATGATTTTTTGAGGTCGTATCTGTTCTCTGGTTTGAATAGGCCTAGGGCCTATGGAAAGCAAATTTTTAGCCTAGAAATGGTAACTATTTCTGTGGAACATTTTGAAATTGAGCTGTTGAAGATGACATCAGTGAACTGACTGGCTCATTCATAAGCACAGGGCTTTGTTTGTCCAGTGCAACACACTCCCCTGTACAGTGTGGGGGAGCACCTCAAATCCCCCTGCCAGAATCATGGCTCCATCAGCCCTACATACCATTATTTGTGCCCTCTGGTGCAGATCCAGGTCAGTGACACTTTCTTACCAGGTCTTTGGCTTTCTGAAATGGGGATGGAAGGTCCTTTCCATATTGGCCTGATGCATTTAGGTGTAGTAAGACTTGTAGGACAGATATCATGTTAGAGCTGCAAAATCTCTACTAGGCCATTACAGCAGCTACATAAACAAGGAGCAGTAAAACCAATATCTTTAAAGATGTGTCATCTGCAATACTCACCACTCCGATAGCCCAAGGCTACAGCTAAATCCATGGAATTACAGCCAGCATCTGTTTCAATAGTTGGATCAGCACCACTTTCTATGTAAAACAGGGACAGAATCTCATGTAACTGACAATAAGAACTGATAGAACCTTATTACTGATAATTTGTTTAGGACAGTCTGCTTACCAAGGAGAATCTTTACACATTTCACATGGTTTCCATGCACTGCATACAGTAAAGGTGTTCCTCCATTCTGCAAAAGCAGAGAAATGCCTCAAACACTTTGTGATTAAACAGCTCACAACTGTTATTCCTTAACACACCAGTACATTTTTATGTATCAGGAAGAGCCTTCGCAGGTTTTATAAAAATGAGGTTCTGTTTTGGATCTTTGCAACTTCCATCTTTTTTTCCTCCTGTTTAAACTTGGAGCTCACACTTCTACAACAACTCAGGCTTAGTCTCATTCTTGTTCTGCCAAGAAGTCAGAAATAGTAGAGCCAACTTCTCTTATCCTATGGAAGTTCTGAAACTCTCAGGTATTTCAGAAGAGGTAGAACAATTTTAACACCTAAGCCAATTCCTGTTTCAATCTTATGACTAAAGCACCTTCTGACATTAATTCAAGTTAGAGCCTTACCCAGTCATACTCATTGACATCAACTCCACAGTCCAGTAGCATTTTGACAATATCTGTGTATCCTTTACTGCAGGCCAGGGAGAGGGCACTTTCTCGACCCTTCCCCAGAATCTGAGGATCTGCGCCCTGAAATAATAACATCAGTTTAAAAAAAAAAGAATCAAATTTGAGGCTTTACATAGAACTTAACTTTAAAACATTTAAGTGTATAGCAGCACTGACAAACTTAGGAAGGCAAAATGAACTAAAATGTAAATAAATTTAAAGTGAAGTGTGTTTCTTTCCTTACATTCTGGAGGAGAAATTCCACTACTGCTATCTGCCCATGAGCTGCAGCCCACATCAAAGGGGTAAATCCTTCTTCATCCTTATGATTGATTAAATTTTCTGTTTAAAGAAATAAAAAGTAAGTTACTAATCCCTGTCACTAACGCACTGTATGAGCTGGTGAAATGTGTTGATGTACCCATGGTGAATGGTCTGAGGTACTGTGTGGCCTGAAAGTCATTATCATCTTAACATTAAAAGTTCTGTCCTAATGGTGGTGTCAATATCTTTGTTCAAGAAAGAAAAACACACCTCAACTGACCAAAGTTAAATTTAAGCTTTTAGTTTAATAGTTTAAAATTTAGCTTTTAAGCTCTATAAATCAAACTCTGTTTTTACTCAGAAATCTTACAAGTTGCCTGTAATCTGGGCTTTATCTTTGACAAGAAGACAAAGGATGTTTGAAAAATAAGGAGGTACATTCTGTATTATACTGTAGGCAGTGTTTTTCAATAGAGTGAGCCACACAATCTTGTAAAGAATGAGCTCATACAGCAACATAGACAGTGTAACTCCATTCCCCCCAAATTTCATGTCATCAATAGGGTGGTCTGTGAAAACAATTAAGGTCTATGTCTACTGCAACTGGAAGAAGAAAAATAGACCTTTTTAAACAATTGGCTGACTGAAATAATTCAGTTGACTTTTTTTAGTATTTAAGTACTTGAAAAATCCCATGATTACCACAGTGCCACAATATGCACTTTAACCATCACTGATACTCCAGAATCCATTTGCTTTCCATATGCATGGCTCATTACAAAGTATACAGACTCAGTGACTCATTACTTGCTTTCCTGTAAACATTTCAACAGAGATGCACTGAAACCAGGGCTGATTTCTAATAGTACAAGAAGAATATACTATTTATGCCAATAAATTCCACCTAGAGTTGAAATTTTGTATATATATTATGGACACAGGTGGGCCAATGCAAACCTCATGGAGTTTAACAGAAGGAAGTGCAAGGTCCTACATCTGTGCCGTGGCAATCCCAGGCATAGCTACAGGTTGGGTGGGGAAGGAATTGAAACCAGCAGTGAGGAGAAAGACCTGAGAGTGATAGTGGATGAGAAGCTCCCCATGAACTGGCCATGTGTGCTAGCAGCCCAGAAAGC